ATGCTACACATTAAAAAAAAAAATATATATATATATATATATATATATATTTTATATTTTTGATACATATATATCAACCTTTATTTTGTTTTAAAATTAGTAAGTCAATTTTAACTCACTTTTTTAATACCATTTTTCTTATTTGTGACTTAGTGTTGCAATTGTTACAAGGACCAAAATGGGCAGCATTAAGTGGGTGCCACTCCGGAATGACATTTGTAAAGGTGACGAGATTCTTCACACATCTATAAAATAAAAAGACATAAATTCATTTAAATTAAATTTATTCGTTAATTTAAATCAATGTCTAAAATAGAAGGTACTGCCCTGGCCAAGTGGCTCAGTTGGTTGGAGCATCATCCCATACACCAAAAAGTTGTGGGTTCAATTCCCTGTCAGGGTGCATACAGGAGGCAACCAATCAATGTCTCTCTCACATCAACATTGCTCTCTCTTTCTCCCCCTTCCTCTTCCTCTAAAATAAATAAAAACATATCCTTGAGTGAAGATTTTAAAAAATTTATTAAAATAGAAGGTACTTTCCTTCATTTGTTTATTCATATTTAACCTATCCCCCAAAACATGTAACAAATAGGCCAATGTTGCTTCCTAACCCTGGTAAAACTCTCTGTGAAGACTCTCCACGTGAATTACCTATAGTTTTCCACCTATGAAACAAAGAAAATGTTAGAGGCGGGGGGGTTTCTCAAGAGCAGTACCACTGACATTGTGCACACTTGTCGTGGGGACCATCCTGTGCATGGCAGGATGTTAGGACCATGCCTCTGCACACTACATGCCAGCAACAGCCCCCAGGTACAGCCTCAAGGATACCCCAACATTGCCAAATGACCCACAGCACACAAAGTCATCCCTCGTTGAGAACCACTGTCCTAAGGATTTCAAATTTGTTAAGAGCTTACACCATACTCAAAAAATTCACAATCTGGCTACCCACTAACAGTCAAAAACAAAAGGTGCATTTCCAAATACAAAATCAGGAGTATACACAACTTAATTTTCTTGATCCTTAAAAAGTTAGAACATTAGTTGTGAAAGAATTTTGTTTTTAATGGTCATACAAGTTCTAAATGCACACTTCAGTCTGAATACTTGAGAACAACAGGAATCTAAAACAATGATCTTTAAAGATGTACACTGCACCTCACCTGCAATCACTTTAATAAAAATTATCTTCAAAAGAACAATTATTTATTACCTAAGGGACACCAGCCTCTGTTCAAACAATAGCAAACACTGATAAATCGTAAGAGATAAAGATAAGCACAGGCTGCTAAAACAGTATCAGCTCTCATGGAAGCTAACACTTTAAAAGCAAAGCAGCACAAAGGGATCAACAAAAGCATCGATTATATTTCTGCTAAATTTTTGGTTCTCGAAGATAACTGTCAAGTAAAGGCTCTCATTTCTTAGCTTATAAAAGTGAGTTTGTTTCAGTGAAGAAGTGTTAATGCCCCATATGAGACCTAACGTTTCTGAGCACTGGTGGTGTGCAGGGCAGGGCACTGTGCCAACACTCCTCTTTCAAACAACCCTACATGGCAGGTACTATTCTTATCCCCATTGTACAGATGAGAAAAGTGAAATGCACATCACATGGTAAATGACAGACCTGAGATCAGAATCTAGGAGTCTGACTCTGCAGACCACAAGTTTAACTCCAGAATATACCTTCTAAAACAAGATAAAGCTCTTAAACCAGCACTAAAAACAGGATATTCTTCCAACAGATTAAATGGAAGTGAAGTTTTAACCCATGATATATTAAAATTTATTTAATGAAATATCATTTCACTTTAGCTTTTCCTCTGTATCTACATTTATTTTTAAAACAAAGGAATTAAAAAAAAGAAAAGCAAACCCACATGGCTGGTGGCTTCTTTCCCTTGAACTCTCAAGTATTTTCTCTATACACCTCCAAATGCACCTATCGCCTCATGTACAAAGTAACTTAAAGCAGCCAACAGCTCAAAATAATTATGAAGTCACTGACCCTCTCTTACATATTTAGCTGTTATCTCCCTAGCTAACTAGTCTCAATTAGGCCAAGCCAGGTTAAGTTCCTGGCACACAGAACATATTCAAAGAAAAACTGTCAAACTGAGATGCAGATTTTAGAAGAGCTAGAATTGAGCTGATGTTATCATCAAGCTTGTTTATATTATGTAAAATCCAGGTGGTGATTAGGGAGTATACCACAGTGAGCAAGAAAGTCTTAGAGGCCAGGAAACCTAACCCTGAATTCTGCCACTTACTGGCTAGTGTGTCCCCTTGGACATCTATTTAACCTCTTCCAAGATTCACCTTCCACATTTGCCAAGTGAGAAGAAAATCAGATAATTTATATAAATCAATGATAGAAGATCAGGAAACAAATATTTGTTCTTACACTCACAAAATTATGTAAGCCATAGGTATGAGTGAAATGTTCATTCTTGTTCTGTTCTAGTACTTCCCAGCTAACTGGTTAAAAAAAAAAAGTTTTCTGTTTTCTGGATCTGTTGCTTGCATTCCCTAAGGCATTCTCTCATAGACTTGACTCTCGATTGATCCCCAAATAACTAAAAATAACCGCAATTTAGATAATAAATATATAAGTAACATTTTTCTCACATTTTAAAAAATAACTTCGAAAGATTTCAAATTTTCTAATTTAGTAGAGGCAAGTTTAAGAAATGAGAAAAGGATTTATCTCTATTATAAAAATTTGAATAAATGACTAACAGAACCAGTCTGGTAATCTTTTCAACCTTTAGTTAGCAACTTTCTCATATATTGACAAAGTGAGGTATCCTGTCTGATGGAAACTTTCTCTCCCTACACCACCTCTTCTAAAACCTAATCTCTCTCATGTTACCGGCAGGTGCATGGAAGCAAAAGAAACCTGCAGTTTCCATGACGCCTCCAATAGGAGGCAGGGAAGTGGAAACTATGGCTGACAGTGCACATGGGGGATGCTGGGGGTAGCTGGTCTTCCAGAAACTAAGGTTAGGTACAAGAAAGCATACACCTTTGAGAGCTGCTGCCAAACTCCAGGAGACCAAAATCAGTTTCCATGATATTAAAAACAAACAAAAACCTGGTCTATAACAGAAGAGTAAACAAAACACACAGTTTCAAGTTCTGAGAGGTGTTATTACCCAGCAGGGAATCCACAAGGGGGTAGAAGGGAATGTTCTACTTTTCCCATTTGTCCCACTTACCACTGAAAACTTAAACTTCCCACTGGTAATCTCTCAAACCATGGGTATTCTTCCAGTTTAAAGCAGCAAGCAAACTGCAGTTTCTGGGGCTCAAATTCTTCCTTTTAACCTTAATGGTGAAGAGACTTCAAGATAGGATGGGAAGTTTAATCAAGGGTGGAAGGAGCCATCCAGAGAGCAGTGTTATAAGTGGAAACAAGCTTTATTCAAATTTGATTACTCAACCACTTTCGATAGAATGAATCCATTTTAAAAAATAGAAAAACGAACCTGTTTTGATACTTGTGTCCACACTGTGAACATTCAAAGTTCCAAGAAAAAGAGTACGTGAAGAGCTTTTCAATGCGGGCTTCAATTTTTAGGAGCAGGGGAAATGCAAACACCGGGCTTTCCATGTCACCTTCAAAAAGAAAAGGAAAAATGGTTGCTCATGAAGAACCAAAAAAGGTAAACCCAAATTATGAACCTGTTGTCTTTTCTCACTATACTCACACTGTGGTATGAATACATGTGAATATGAATATATGACAGAGCAGTTTATTCACAGTTAAGCAAGAAAAAGTTTTTAAAGCTTTTTTCTAAAAAAAAGTCCATAATAGCCCTGGCCGGTGTTGCTCAGTGGTTAGAGCATCGACCCTCAAACCAAAGGGTCTTCGGTTCGATTTCTGGGTCAAGGGCATGTACTTGGGTCACAGGTTCCATCCCTAGCCCGAGGCACTTGGGAGATGTGTCTCTCCCACATCAATGTCTTCCCCCCACCCCAAAAAGTCAATGGAAAAAATATCCTCGGGTAAGGATTAACCAAAATCAAGAAATTAAATAAACAAATAATAAATGTCCACAATAAAGATTTAATTATCACTTCAGTTTCTATCTTTCCTTTTTCTTGGACATGTGTGAAAACTCCTTAAGGCAAACGACCCACACTATCATCTCAGATCATCTTAGCTTTTCTCAGGAAAAAAATATACTCCATATAACAACACTAGAGTATTATAAAAACAAAATAAATATATGTATGGTTTGCTACAGATATTGAAAATAATATAACTGGTGAAACATGGTAGAATAATGTCAGAGTTGGACAAAAGCATTAAGAAGCCATTTCTATTCTGACTCTCTCATTCTCCACGTGGCAAGAGCATGACACACATGGGAGAAAGGACCAGCCTCAAATCTCCTCACTGCTCACTCTTCTTAATCTTTTAACAATTAAAGCCCAACTTCAAAACTTTAAGACTAGCAAAGATCTGAATTTTGTTGTCATTAAAACAAAAACTGACATGAATACTGTCTTCCAGTGTGGAGATCAGCAAGCAAGTTAAAGAGGATTTATATTTCCCCTCACATTCCTTTTCCAATGGGTTTCTCTCCTTCCTGTCTTCAAGGGAGCTTAGGTGCTAGGGAAAATCTGAGTCCTTCCATCCTTTCCTCCCCTGGTATAGTCTTACATCTATGGTCCAGTTTCCTCCCAGCCTGGAACCATAGTTGCCAGGAACACCACCTGGAGGAGTCACTTTAGCAGGACCAAAAGGCAGAACAGTAGTAGCTGTTATTGCCTAAACATACTCTAATATCAGTATTTACAAAGGCTATATTAATAGTCAGCTTTGTGGTATAGTCCTGCTGTTATTTTTGTACAAAAACATAAAATCAAAACAAAATCTTTTTAATAAACAAAAATAAATATAAATCAGTCTCCTAAAATGAACATATGCAATACCACGAGTAAACAGGATGTAGTATAGCATGAATCTGTAATTAGTTCTCAGCCTTTAAGTGTTTACTTTATTGTAACTAAATATTAATTGAAAAAGGAAATAATTTACATTTCATAATGACAACACAGAATCTTCAGGCCTAAAAATACATAAAGTTCTCAATGAATCAAAATATGAAAGAACTCAAAACACACTTTTAAATAAGTTGTGTGATTACAGATCATTTTAGGTAATTTATATAGCTCCTAAACTTATCTTAATTATTTTTCCTTTGATTATAAATTTTATGGGAATGAAATATAAAGCAATCTACTAGAAAACATATACCACCAGTGACTATTTCCGATTTTTATAATCTCCTGCCTAAATTAGTTAAGTGGTTTCTTTGCCTTTAGTAACCTAACCCCCACTCCTACCCAACTGTCTTCATTTTCCATGATGCAAACCTTTCAGTGACTCTTTGCTGTCTAATGATTCAAGTTTTCTCTTCTGTTAATTGTTCATTAATGTCTTCTGACCACTTTTCTATCGGGTTGCCTTTTTTAACTGACATACAAGAGTTCTTTATAAGATATGCCAGATACTGCTTCTTTGCTCAATCGTTTCCCAGAGGCTTTAAACTTGAATGTAATCATACTTACCAATCTTTTATGTAACTTATTTAAGAAATTCTTCCCCAATGAATGATAAAGTATTCACCTATATTTTCTTCCAAAGTTTTACAACTCTGCTTTTCATGTTTAGGTCTTTAAACATTCTGAAGTTTATTTCTGATTTTGGTGTCAAGTAGGGATCCAATTTTTCCCCTGTATCAGGAACCAATTGATGCCATTTCTTTCTTAGGTATCTGCCACCTCCATCACAGCATAAAGTAATCAAAAGGGGAGGGTCCTGATCTGGGCTATTCTGTTCTACTTATCTGTCTGTCCATACGCTGGTACACAACACTCAGACTAAATTACTCTTTTGACTTACACATAAATAAGTAAAAGCCATAATGTTAGCTTTTTCTTTAAAAAAAAAAAAAGGAATATAGACATCAGAGGAAAAGAAAATACTAAACTGAAGATAGTAGTTACCTTTATGGAGAGGTAAGGAAGAATTGGGGAAGAGTACAGGGGGATCTGAGTTGTATTTGTAATGTTATATTTCTTAAACTGTGGGGAGGGAGAACAGAGGGGATAGTTTATGAAGTGTTTTTCAAAAACAATAATGACAATGAAAAAGTGGCTGATCTTAAAAAATTTAACCAAAATTCAAGGTCAGTACAGATTCTACTTCTCTTTATTTGGTACTTTAAAATACATGTTAATATTCTGAATGAGAACACACACATGGTAAGATTTTACACTGCTCTCTGAAGCAAAGATCAGATTTCATTAGTAAGATCTTAAGCTCTAATATAGCACCTAGGATTGCTGAATGATTGAGTGGTAGGAACACAAATGAGAAGGGTTCGTTCTACTGTCTTAGGAGAGCCGAGTGCTCGCCTAATTGCTATGATTAAACAAATAATCATTTAAAATTCCCTTCTCTGTTACAAAGAAAATCAGGACCAAGGTGGCAGTGAGCAAGATTCAACCTTGTTCCAAACATAATTACCAGGGATAAGGGTGCTGATTCAGATTGGGGGAGAAGTCACTCTTTTTTTTTTTCAATCCTCACTGGAGGATATTTTTTCCATTGCTTTTCAGAGAGAGTGGGAGAGAGAAACACCGATGTGAGAGAGACACATCGATTGGTTGCCTCCTGCACATGCACCAACCAGGGCTGGGGATGAGCCTGCTACCGAGGTACGTACCCTTGGTCAAAATCGAACCCAGGACCCTTCAGTCCATGAGTCAATGCTCTAACCATTGAGCCAAATAGGCCAGGGCGAGAAGTAACTCTTTAATTCAACTGGAACCTGGAGTCTGGAACCTGAATAAAACATCTCAGGTCATGCTAGGAGGGAAATGATACTTGCAAAATGCAAAATGGGAGCCAATCAAGTCTATACTCTGGTGAACTTAGAAAAAAACTCCTTGAAATGAGTGTTCACCCAACAGATCAGTGGTTGGGTAAGGAAGGGGGCTGACTACTAAGGAGCCTGGGAAAAAATTTTTGGGTGATAAAACATTCCATACCTTGATTATGGTAATGGTTACACAACCGTATACATCTAAAAGGGGTTTTACTATATGTTAATTACACTTTGAGAATAATATTCATCCCATCTGAGATCCCACCTAATGATAAATTAGACAAGGCCTCTTTAGATCTAGAGGAGGCAATGTGAAAGACTTGGCATATGGAAAATCAGTTTATTATTATAACAGAGTAAACTTTTATCTGTAGGAGTTCATGAAAAATAAGATAGTAAAACTAGGGGACAAAACTGAAACAAAGTAGGAGATACTACCATGCAAAAGAAGCACAGATTCAGATACAATATCTGGTTCTGATAAAATAAATGCACTTGTTGAGAGAAAAACTTGAAGGCATTGATATTTCACATAATTTAATAATGGGTAATATACTAATAAGAATACCATATATTCTGCTTCTACAATACAATATTAATAGAAGAGTTAATACAAGGATAAATAGAAATAAAATAGACATCCCCCTCAAACAAACTAATCATTACAGCTCCTCTTTGCAATACTTGAAACATTTAGAAAGGCCCAGATAGAGATGTAGTGCCCTTGCTCCACACTGCTCCCAGAGGCCAAAAGCCAATAGAAGACAAAGCAGGTCTTATTCTTGTACCCCATTTTAAAGGTAAGAAAGTGTCCCCAAAAGGTCATCAGCATATTTCTCCTCATATCCCACTGGCAAAATTCGTACCATCCGTCCATTTCTAAACCAATCACCAGCAGGCAAAGTAGAATTACTCTGGCTGGTTTAAACCAGAGATTCTCAACCTTGTCCACCTGTTAAGTGTCACATGTCATGGACCTGGAGAGTATTATGCTAAGTGAAATAAGCCAGGCAGAGAAAGACAAACATCACATGATCTCACTTATATGTGGAATCTAAAGAACTTAATAAACTGATGGACAGAAATGATTCAAAAAAATAAGTCACATGGGAATTCTAAAATTCCTAATACCTGAGCTCCATCCTGAGATTCTTATTTAATTGGCCCCTGGCACTATTGTTTACTTTTAAATTCCTTAGGTGTTTTTGAATGCACAAACAATGCTGAAAATGCTGGGGGAAAGTACTGGAAAAGCAACAAGGGTATCCCTGAGTCTTCAACCTGTTTCTAAGACCAGCATCCACTCTAGTGGTGGAACACTGCTCGCATTATTTACATGGACCAGGTCTGCCCACCGATGATTTAACCAGTGGTCAATTCCTAAGTGAAACCACCAGATTTTCTCCCCCAATATCTGGATCATCAAAGTAATAAAACAGTATTATATTTCCTTATGATATAAGTTTTTCTTTATGGCAGATGAGTTACACAGTTAAATTATACAAATTACTTACCTAATGTGCATCTAAGCTGAGGCTGAAGCCTGATGAAAATGTTATTTCTGACTTCATTCAGACAGGTCTCTATCTTTGCAAATATTTCTGAGGTAAGTTTTTTATAATCTCTATCTAAAAATAAAGTACAGAACATTATCAATTTCTCATCAATCTATATCTTTTCCAAAAAAAAGTAAGACACTGCCAAGAGTGAAAGTTTATCAGGCAATAAATTTTGCAAAGACAAAATGTAAAACACAAAATTTTCTTAATTCTTCCTACCCTCTCCATGGTTATACCATATAGTTCCTCAAACACAATTCAAAGTAATGCAGCTCAAACAAATTAATTACAACCATATTATAAAAACTGCAATTATTCTGTAAAATATTATAAGATTAAAATACAAAAATAAAACTAATTTAATATTTAAGTCAAAACTTGAACAAGAGATATGCTCTTCTGCAACAATCAACTGAACAATCATTACTGACTCAGTATTGGAGTCCCTGTAATAACAGAAACCTGGAATAGAGAAAAGACAAAAGCAAAAATGCTGTGAAAAATTGAATTTTAAGAATTGCAAAAATAACTTCTGAAATCTCAAAGAAAGTGAAATGGAAATATTTCTTAACTAACGAAAATTTTAAGTTTTTAAACGTTTACACCCAGAAGTGATTAGAGTGCTCTGGGACATTTATTTTACATATGCAAATAAAATTGTATGTTGGTGTAAGCCTTCTGGAAAGCCATTCAGAAAAACTCTTTATGTTCATATTTTAATATCCCTTCTAGGATATACTCAGCAATGGATTCAAAGAATATATAGATACTTGTCATAGTGCTTATTCCTCAGAGCAAAAAACAGTAAGCAGCGTGAATGGTCACCAATGTGGAAACAGTGGGTAAGATTTATATAAAAGACTCCATGCCCTGGCCTGTTTGGCTCAGTGGATAGAGCGTCGGCCTACGGACTGAAGGGTCCTGGATGCCATTCTGGCCAAGGGCACGTGCCTCCACTGCAGGCTAGATGCACAGCTGGCCCCGGTCAGCATGTGTGCAGGAGGCAACCAATCAATGTGTCCCTTTCACATCAGTGTTTCTCTCTCTCTCTTTCCCTTCCACTCTCTGAAAAGCAATGGAAAAAATATCCCCAGGTGAGGATAAAAAAGATTGCATGACCGAAGTCAAGTTAATAAATGTAAGAATTCTTATACTACCAGAAAACAAGACCTAAAAAGTCCTAATAATTTTTTTTTTTAAATATATCTTTATTGATTTCAGAGAGAGGAAAGGAGAGGGAGAGAGAAAGACAGGAACATCAATGATGAGAGAGTCACTGATTGAGCCCGCAACCCGGGCATGTGCCCTGGCCGGGAATCGAACCCCGATTGCCTGGATCCTAGGTAGATGCTCAACCGCTGAGCCACGCCCAGCCGGGCCAATGTCCTAATAATTGAAATTGTGTGGTACTGGTTCAGAGACAGATAAAGTGACCAAGAGAACAAGAGTTAAGAAACAGCTGCACACACACGTGGAATGCTACATGATAAAAGTGGAAGATCAATTGCGACAAAAAGTAGAGGTAGAAAAACTGGCTATG